AAGTAAAGAAATAGAAGTAAAGTTTGACGAGACTAGGTGGCGTTTCTCCTCATGGTTTTGGAGGAGCTGGCGTGTAAGCCAGAACACGCTCAAAAAGCTAAAGAAGCATGACTAAAAAGCATAGCTCAAAGCTATGACTAAAAAAACGCATGGCTAAAAGTGATGACTTGAAAGCACATGACTAAAAAGCAAGAGGTGAAAAAAAGAGAGAGATTTTGATGGTGTCCTGAGTATTTAAACTGGGCTTTTGGCCACATCCCAAATGGTATTTTGACCAATTAGATGCTTTCTTTGCTGGGGGTGTTGTATATTTCTCCTCCCAATTCATAAATCAAAATGTTATCTCATCAGGCACATGGTCCGAGTTTTCACGCTCTTACAGAGTATATTTTTGGACATGATTTCTATAACAAGAATATGATACATTTGACAAAGAATTGATTGGAAGAAACGTTTCAAGCAAGAAGATTCAAACACACACATACTAAACATGGATATGAACCCTTAAGCTATTCAATAGTTATTCAAAATACATACACAATAAAGGATTAAGATCTGATAGTCACACATGTGGGTTACATACATAATATGGAGTTATGCATAGAAATGATTAGTTGCTCACAAGTCCTTTTAGTGTCATTTAGGTGCATGGAAAGGCAGTTTCTGTGCCATTCTGTGGATGAGGACATATTCTGTGAAGACCAGAGGTTAAAAGGTCTGTAAGGAATCTCAGTCTTTGTCGTCGAGGTGGGGGAAGTCAATCCAAAGAGCTTGTGATTACTATCTCTGGTTTACATGATGGTCATGCTGTGCATTTCTTTGACCATTAATCTTGCTTACTTGCCCCAAAATTGACAATCCTTCCTGAGATGTTATGATCATTGTGTTCTCTGTGTTAATTTTGAAAGCTGTTCTGTGAAAGTTGGTTGGTTAGGCTTGCTTCAGACTGACTTGTGGCGCCAGGATCTGATTTACGAACATCCTGTGTCTTGGGCCTCTGTGGAATTCGGCTCCTCATGTTTCAACCATGTTCTTGACCAAATCTTAGATTAGTCTTAGTCTGATTCAGTCTGATACCCTACACATCCTTAAAATGCCTGCTTTAAATAACATCATTATTGTTTCACAGTGTTTCCTGTTTGGTGCTACTAAAGCAAAAATGCAAAAACATAAATGTATATGTAAACTATATAAACATACAGGTTGACCACTGCAGTCTGATTTATCAATGACTCTTAATGAACCCGTTCTTTTAGACAGTCAGTTTTACTTGGACCCCAAATAACTGATTCCAGTGGCTTGTTTTGATCAGTTGCTTATAACATTGCTGTCATTTTTGTGCTATGAATGTCTATGAATGTCTTTTGAAATGAATTAAATGTTTAAATTTAAACTGAAGGAACAAATGTGTCACATACTGAGTAGTAAGGAAACTTGTTTCCACCCTTGAATAAAAAATTACAAAAAAAGGTAATTATGACTTTATCTCACAATTCTGACTTTTTTCTTGCAGTTGCGAGTTTACATCTTAGAATTGACTTTCTTTTCTCAGAATTGCATGATATAAACTCGCAATTGCGTGTTGCATAGTCCGAACTGCAATATATAAATTCAGTTTTGAGAAGTCAGAGTTATGAGATATACTCGCAATTGTAAGAAAATGTCAGAATTGCGAGCTGAATCAGACAGAATCTCACAATTCTGAGAGAAGAAATCAGAATCGCAGCATGTAAATTTGCAGCTTTATAAAGAGTTATAAAGTCAGAATTGCTGTAAAATATAAATCGAGTTTATATTTTGCAATTCCGACTTTTATTTCTCACAGTTGCAAGTTTATCTCATAATTGAATTTTTAACTCTCAACTGCAAGTTTATATCTCACATTTCAAAAAAGCAGAATTGTGAGAATTGTGTGCCATTACCTTTTTTAATTTTTTATTTTTCTCTGTTTTTCAAACAGGCTTCCACAGAGTACACTGTAAAAAATGATTGTGATTTTAACAGTAAAAGACTGTAAAAATGCTTCAGTAAAAACCTGTTAACTGGTTAACAGTAAGTTTCCCTACTATATACGGTGAATAAATGTAATTACATTTAATGTAATTTTACAGTAAAATACTGTTAAAAATACAGTTTTTGGAAATGAAAAAGAAAAAGTCATTGTATAATTTACAGTAAAAAAATGTAAATTGACATTCCCAGAATTCCCTGCATCACACTTCATATTTGATGTTTTTTTGTTGAAATAACGTGTTTCTTCTTAGTTTTTTCTTATCAGATGTGTACATTATGGTTTAATCTTGCATCTAATGATGTTAAATTAATGTTTATTGCATTATTTCAGCATCATGTGTGTCACCGTGATGGTGTTTAGTGTTTGTCTGAATGAGACTGTGCACCTTCTATATATAAGTATTGCCCTCCTCAGCTCGTAGAAAAGCTGTTTGTGATGAGCTTTGGTTCATCGTGTGACTTTCTCATCACCACCAGTTTTTGGTGGTTATCAGTGCATTTCAATGGTTCAAGACAGATATTAACACTTCAGTATGTTGGTTTATTAACATTACATCAGTTAAAGAAATACGGTATTTTATTGTGAATTTAAATTAAATCTGTAAAACCTCAAATGTTGCTATCATATTTTTTATGGTGAAGTTCTGGCAACCACATCAGCCGATATTTTACCGTAAATGTCACAGATTTTTTTTTACAGTGTAGATACTATATTTATAATTATAATAAGAACATGAATACTGTGAATTCAGGACATACTAGTCTTTTTACACATTGCTTTTCACCTACTATGTATTTAAAAAGTTGCCATATGTGGGGCATTATTATAAAAGTAGGCATTATTGATGCATTAGTAAAATGGATATTTTAGCTTTTCAAAATAAAAAAGCACTATAACGAGTGGGAAGTGAGTTAATAAGCGTCAGTGTAAACGCCGCTTCAGCTGACCTGCTCACTTTTAAGTGCTGGAGCAGGATCTATATTAATTGAGGTGAAAGGTCAGAAATGCTGTTAAGAAATAACCAGAGGTTCTTTTGGCTTGAAAATCAGGCATATTGATGATTACATTTTTTTTTTTTTATCGGAAGAAAAAAATTAATACGTTCATATCCCACAAATGAAATTTCCTGATCTTCACCTTCATGAAAATAGCTCTTTAAAGCCTGACATAAATTAATTAAGTCATAAAAATTTAATAAAATGAAACCGTTTATTGAACCTTTAAACAATAAATACATTTTGAATATATGATTTTGTGGTTTAGTATCATATTTGATCAATCAGGCTTTTAATGGTTCATATTGTACGATATAGGAGAATATTGCACTCAAACGTGAGAAAAAATAAACGGCACAATTTTATTCAAAAGCAGTAATATGCTGATATGTATGTGGCTAAAATTAAAATGAAACTCTGATGCTTATAAAGTAAATCGATGAGATCTTAATAACAATATAAGAGACAACTCACATAAAATTATATAAATATCAGGCGCCACTCTATATCTCCAATAATATGTATACTAACAATATTATAGTAAGATGATATTTAAATTCTTAGTTTTATGATCAAAGCTCCAGTTTTTTTCATATAATGCAATACAATATAATGCACTGATAATTGAGAGATGAACAAATAAACATTCCTCAAAAGCCTGATATAAAGCCTCATGTTTAATACTTGCAATGATTTACATTTACACATTATTTAAATAAAATGATTTATGGATAATCAGGTAAATTGTATTTACTTGGTTCTAAGATATATTGAAATATCACTAACAATATAAAAGTTATTCTTAGCTTTACTAGTAACACATATTAACTGTTAGCTGAGAGTTTTTCCTCAATAAACTCCTAATTACTGCTTATTTATAGTAAGTAAAGTAGTTGTTGTAGTAGTTATCTTTAGGTATTGCGTCGGGTTTAGGGATCTAGAATATAGTCATGCATTAATATGTACTATAAGTACTAATAAATAGCTAATATGCTGAAAATATGCATGCTCATAAGCAACTAGTTACTAGTGAATAGTGTTCCCTAATCTAAAATGTTACTTTCAGATGTGTACCACAACCTCAAGAATTAAACTAAAAATCGTTTTACTTGCTAAAAAGTATGAACTATCAATCAGACGGTGACAGCAGGTCTTTCATGACGATCATTTATAGACGTGTATCAAATATAATACAGTAGGCTTTATAAGGTTAAACTTCCAATATGCCACTCGCACAGAATAAATAGTACGGTATATACTGCAGTGTTTAGTGAGCAATAACCTGTTCCTTTATGAACTTATCACATGGCCTTCTGTGGTGATATAGATGAACATTCATCTCTTTCTCTCTGTCTCTCTCCCGCGCACACAAGCACATAAAACAATCAAGGTAATGCACCCACCCAATAAAGTGCATTTACTGTAATTGGCCTCCATATACCCAGTGTCTTCAGGGAATGGTAATGAGCGAGGAGGTCAGGTACTAAACCCTGGGGAGGCATCAGTCTGTGGACATCCGTGGAACCCGACACGAATACGATCCTTCATGCAAACCCAATGCTGAGGGGCAGACCAGTCTTCAGCCTCCCATCGCCCCTCATCTCATTAAAAAACTGCTTGATTTTGCCATTCAAAACAGCCTTTTCATTAAGAAAACTGAGCATTGGGCAAACGTGCAATTGCAAGAGTAATTGGCGAGTCTAAAGCAATTGTGAACATTTGGCCCAGGCTCTGCGAGTTAGAAAAGGACACCTTGCGCAGATGCGTCCGAGTGTGAGAATTTAAAGATTCCAGTCAGGTCAGACATCATAACTCAGGAGGGACGTCCGTCTGAAGGACACAGAAGCAGCACTCAGCTTTATTACATTAAAGCTGCTCAGCCAAAATATACAACAGCAAAAAGCATCTTCTGTCAGCACATGGAGCTTTATGAGATGTGGGACTGGATCTGAAGCTGGATCACTGCGAGCCGAACACGCGGTTGATAAAGCAGAAACAGCTTGCCATCAATGCCTAGTAAAACACAGCCCATCTGCCCTCATGCATGCCTCTGATATGAAAGCATAACACTGAGATTCAGAGCGATTATGCGTTTGAGGGCGTTCTGCATTAAAATAAATGAGGATGGAAACAAAAGAAATGAATGAATAATGAAACAACTTATGGTTTGCGTCCTATATGTTTCAGAATTTGAAAACGTAGAGTATGTGAGTGGATGGCTTATCAACAGCTTACGCTTCTGAATGTGTCACAATAGCGAGTAATTGCGTATATTTTCCCTTCAGGCCCTGATCCAGCTGCCAGTGTATATTTCCCAATGCGAGGAGGTTCGTGTGTTCTTTGAAACGCGTCCTGAAGACCTGAACCCACCCAAAGAGTACGTTTGCACTCCATGCAATACACACACACACATATTCAAAATCAGTCAAAATGGCACCGATAACTTAATGAGCCTTAGTTTATATTGAGATTAATAAATCAATAAATCAATAGCCACTAGCTACTTTACAGCTCACCAAATCAACAAGGATTTTTTGAAAAAAAAAAAAAAATTAAGAATATAATAATAATAATAAATAAATAAATAATCTTGTCATGTATAAACACTGATTTATAGTGTGATTAATATAATAATAATAATAATAAAATTATGATAATATTTACCTGAAATAAAATAAACATTAACTAAAACAAAATATATTAAAAAAACCTTGAACTTATTTTGTTTCAGCTAGTTAACAACATTTCTAATTTTCATTTGATGATTTTTAATTAAATTTTTTGAAGTACTAAAACTAAAATTTAAAAAATATATCAAAATATTAACAAAAACTATAATAGTAATATCAATGATACTAACACATAATAGTTAGTAGTGTATCATGGTTCTAAAATTGTTTTTACATACTAAGAACATGAATATCTAACCTGCATATCTTCGTTTACAGGGAACCCAGTGGAAAAAAGAAATCGGGTAAGGAAATGGTTTTGTGAGAAAGTGCCATGCGTAAGTTGTAATTCACGTTGGCTGTGGTTAGTGTGCCCTCTGGTGCACTTCATAAATGTTTCATTTGAGGTACAGAATGTGCAGCTCGCACCCTTTACTCTGGATGCTTTCATTCCTTTGTTACCTGAACCTTTCCACCTTCGCCCTCACTCCTGCTCTCATTCATGTTCCCTCATCAGGCATTGTGGAGCACGCAGCTTCTTTCCTAAAGAGAGGTAGTAACAGACGCTTGCTTAGCCATGCTCTGTGTGTGTGAGCCCTCGAAGTGCGGCGTTTCTTAGGTGGGCCAGGGCTAAGCTTTGTGCTCTGTTCCTGAGTGATGTGCATGGCGGTGGTTTACTGGTGGACCATTTAGCAGATAGTTTAGTAACTGGTAGGGATGTAGCGATGCTGCACATGAGCCGGTTGAAATTCAATAAAAATATCTGACGATTTAAAAAAAATTAAATTACCCCATTATTTGCTCACCCTTTTGAAGCCCTTTTTTGGGCTTCAAAATCTCGACCCGCATTCACTGCCATTATAAAGCTTGGAAGAGCCAGGACATTTTTTAATGTAACGTCTGTAAGAAGAAAGTCATACCTACATTGTGAAAAAAATTCCGTAAAATTTACGGTAAAAAAACGGCAGCTGTGTTTGTTGGAATTTTACCGTAAAAAATACAGTAGCAACATTTGAGGTTTTACAGTTAAATACCGTAATTTCATTAACTGATATAATGTTAAGTAAAAAAACGGCAGCTGTGTTTGTTGGAATTTTACCGTAAAAAATACAGTAGCAACATTTGAGGTTTTACGGTTTTAACTTAAATTTACAGTTAAATACCGTAATTTCATTAACTGATATAATGTTAATATACCAACCTATTGAAGTACTGAAATCTGTTTTATAACTTTGTAATACACTGATAACCACCAAATGCAGGAGGTGATGAGAAAGTCACATGATGAACCAAAGCCCATCACGAGCAGCTTTTAAATAATAACATATATAGAAGGTGCACAGTGTGTCGTTCACACAAACACTAAACACCATCACGGTAACACACATGAAACTGAAATAATGCAATAAACATGCATTTAACAACATTAGGTGTAACACACAACCCTAATATACAAAACTGATAAGAAAAAACTAAGAAGAAACAGTTATTTCAACAACAAAAAAAACATCAAATTTGAAATGCAATGCAGGGAATTCTGGGAATGTCAATTTACGGTTATTCACTGTAAATTATACAGTCTTTTTCACTTCAAAAAATTTAATATCCAATACAGTTTTTCACCGTGTATAGTAGGGTAATTTACCGTTAACCATTTAACAGGTTTTTACTGTAGCATTTTTGCAGTCTTTTACCGTTAAATTCACGGTAATTTTTTACAGTGTAGGATGGCTTGAAGGTGGGTAATTTGAATTTTTGGGTGAACTATCCCTAAGTAAGTCGGTCGAGATGTTAAACGAATCACGATACAGTTGTGGGGGTTTGTATGAACGTATCTCTGATGTGAACTGACTGTCTGCAGAAAAGTATATTGCATAATAAAGTAGTGTTTATTAGCGCAGCGCTGCTTTGTTTATCGCTGCTGTTCCACAAGCGCCACCTGCTGTCAGAGAGTGCATCTGCGTCTCATTCAGCCCGACTGCTGTTTGTTTCGTGCAGATATGTTTTATATAGCATAATTTCACAAGGCTAAAATTCTGTGGTTCAAATGTTGAAATGATACAATGCAATTTAAATCAAAAACTGCTCATGCGGCATGTATACAGCATCTTTGTTTGGATCGTGATTAAAATATAGCAGTTTTGTGAGTTGACATTTCAATTTCACAAAGAAATGTGCAGCATTTTGTCTGAGAAACAATAAAAGGACACGTTTTCATTTCTAATTTGTCTTAAATCTCATTTAGTTAAAACAAATCTTTTTAATTGTGAAATCGTGAGTTGAGTGACTCGTTACATCCCTACGTAATGCTACAGGTAATAGTTATAGTGTTCCTTTATAATAGCAATGCTTTAGCAATAATTAAGTTAATTATTACTTTTTCTTCACAAAGTAGAAGAGAGCAGCACCTACACCAAATTTTGAGATCAAATATGCATGTTTTTGACATGCTTTGTGAGATGCACGGTAGTGATTCCACTCAGTACTGCAATATTTTAAAAATAATGGAACAAATTTGATCACTTATTTTATAATTTAGCGCATGACTGGTGTTTTTTGTGCTCTTATGAATTAATTATACTCTCTTCAACCTTGTGATTAAAATCGATTTATTCGGCTCTACGATTTATATAATCTTTTCTGCAACTTATTTAGTCATTCAAAATCATAAATGCTTTAGACAGTGTGCAGCTTTTGTGTTGAATTCAGTAGAAATTACACTTTATCTGTGAATGATTTCAAAATAATAAGAAGCGAGGAATATTGTCTATAGTAAACAAAAATTACATTTACATTTACTCTCCTCATGCTGTTCCTTCTTTCTTTGTCATTCTACAGAAATAGAGAAATTTCAAACTGGTCATGCATTCTTTTCCATGCAATGAAATTATTCAGAATCTATTAAACACAAATGAAGATTTTATTTTATTTTTTTATGAAACCCGAGAAATTTCTGGCCTTTCATTGAAGACTACACAACCAAAATTGTATTGATTCAAAAAGTTGAAAAGATGAATCCATGTGTGTTCTGAAGAGACACAGTTGCTTTATATAAAGAACAGATTTAATTTAATATTTCATTCTCATATAAACATTGACCAATGCATATGCATGGAGCTTAAAAAATATAGTCAACAGAAGCTCAAACATGCAAGTACATACGTTTGAACTCTTCTGAATATTAATTTTGTGATGTTTTTATGAACTTTGTGAATAGTCAAAGTGTTGGTTGCGTGGACTTTCAATGGAGGGATGGAAATCTCTCAGGTTTTATTAAAAATATCTTCATTTGTGTTTTGAGCATGAACAAAAGTCTTTTGGCTTTGATACAACATGAGTGTGAGTAAATAAGAGAATTTTCTTTTTGGGTGAAAGATCACATTAAGTTGTAAACATATGCATATGAGATGGTTTTGAGAGAGCCTCATGAAATCATTCACAGAAATGAGCAGATCAGTTCAGCTGGAACACAGTCAGTATCTGCTTCAATGATTTGGTACAAATCACCAAACTAATCTTCATGCACTGCACTGGTGTTTTATATTGGGAATTATATTGTTTTAGGCTCTGTTAAATGTGCTTTGCAGAATAATCAAGACATTTTTTTGTCTGGAAAGCCCTTAAAATGAGCCATTTAATAATTATTCCATTATTGCAGAAGCAGTGTTGCTGATTTAGTGCGGGTTTGTTTCCTTGCAAGTCTCTCAGCACTATTCCTGCTTTGGTCTTTTCCGATCACGTTTGCTTCTTTCTTCTCTTGTGGTGTTGGTGGGACACCAGTAGAGCTGTCGATAGCTGTCCCCTCTGTCCCTGCAGGAGGAGACTCGTCCTCAGCGGACCCGCTGCTGCTGGAGCAGTACGTGGCTGTCACCGACTACGAGAAGCAGGAGAGCTCTGAGATCAGTCTGTACGTGGGGCAGGTGGTGGAGGTCATCGAGAAGAACGAGTCTGGTAGGAGCCTTCGCTGTTGTTGTCAGTCTCTGCCATTAGTTCCTCCAGAACGTATTCGCCAGACGCAGAGTTCTATAAATGCTGACGTTCAAAAACTATGGAAGCCCGATTCCGACACTGAATTCATTTTAATCTCACAAGACTTTTTTTTCTCAGAATTCTGTGATATAAAGTCGCAGCTGTGAGTTATAAAGTCAAAATATTTCTCGCAATTGCGAGTTTATATCTTGCAATTCTGTTTTTTTCCTCAATTTCGAGTTTATATCTTGCAATTCTGTTTTTTTCCCTCAATTTCGAGTTTATATCTTGCAATTCTGTTTTTTTTCCCTCAATTTCGAGTTTATATCTTGCAATTCTGTTTTTTTTCCCTCAATTTCGAGTTTATATCTTGCAATTCTGTTTTTTTCCCTCGAAATTTTGAGGGAAAAAAACAGAAATGCAAGATATAAACTCTACGTTAATATTAAGCTATTCTTTCAAAAATGTTATTAAATATGAGGCCCAGCTGTTAAATGAATAGCTCAGCTAAAAATGAATATTCTGTCATCATTTACTCATCATTTACCTCATGATGCTCCGAACCTGTCTGATTTCCCAGGTTGGTGGTTTGTTAGCACTGAGGATGCTCAAGGTTGGGTACCAGCCACATGTCTGGAGGCTCAGGATGACCCTGATGATTTCTCAATACCAGCAGAAGAAGGTAAAGAGTCCTGCTTGTCATCAAATGTTCCTCATCAGCAGCAACAGCAAAAAAAAAAACACACAAAAAAACTCCTGTTTATTCAGATCTGGGATCTCTAAAGGTGTAGTGTGTATTTTTTTGAATGCTCATTCCTAGTTTAATATACAGAAACTATAAGAATGACTAGAAGTCACCCATGGGTTGTCAAGAGTTTAAACTCTTTTTGTGGCACTTTCACAACATTTCTCTGTTTGAAATTCCCTCTAGCCCTAAGTACTAAACGGGGTTTCTGCAGGATTTATGAAGGTCAATTTAAGACTTTTTCAAGACCAAGTAAAGAAAATTCAAGGAATAAATTAAATGGAATACAGTAGGTCAATATGGTGTCTAAAATTAAATGTCTTGCATTAGCGACGCTTCAAAGTTTGGAAATACAACTAACATATTTCCATTACTTTTCATTCATTTTACCAAAACCAAACAGAAAATCTCAAGGTTTGAATAGTTCTCCTCACAAACGCTAGAATATGAGTATAACTTGTACTGTACCTTCTGATAACACTGCAGTGAGTGCTGTTCTTCCTCAGAATCTGTCTGGTTTTTCAATGCAAATGTCTGAATCAGGATACTTACTTGAGAATCAAAATTACATGAGATGAAAGGCCTGATCAAAACGAAAGCATTTTCTGAGAAACTGATCAAAATGAAAGTGAGTTTATGATTAAAACTAGAACAAATATCTGCCAATAAGCTCAGAAAATCAACTTAATTACTTGATCAGAAAAGTATGTTTCATGCCGCATTGACAGATATTTGTTCTCGTTTTAAGCATAAACTCACTTCATTTTGTTCAGTTTCTCAGATAACAAGACTTCATATGTTCAGTTTTCATCTAAAGTAAATGTATCTTGATTTAAGGATGTTTATATATTTACACTTGAAAACAAAAATACTACGGAAAATGTTCATTTCTTGCAGTGCATGCAACATTTAATGCCACGACTTTAAATTTAAGACTTTCTGCTCTGATTTAAGGACTTTTTAAGGCCTTTTAAAGCTAAACAATGGGTGTCTATAAGAAAAACATTCCTATTTTAAACTTTATAAACCATTGCATTGCGAGAAACTCGCATCTTGCTGAATTTAACCAACTTAATATAAATAAAAAATATATGGCGAACCTTGCTGAACCAGATAAGCTTGTTTTTGCAGTTCTGTTTAGTAGCACAAAAATTGCACACTTCACCATGTTTTAGAGAGGGAGTCTTACTCAGATGTTAAGAGAGATGAGGTCAGAGTTTTTCTCACTTCATATGTGAGTGCAGTCTTTAGTTGGATTCTGTACTACATGGCAAAGATGAGATATTTGGTAGGCCAGCATATCCAGTATAAAGAGACATGACTTGAAGGTTTTCACATGTGTCTGCTTGCTCTCTGCTGGAGTGTGCCGGAGATTCTGGTCACTGCCGAGGCACGTCGGTCGCCGGCGTACTTTAGGGGATCTGTTCAGCACAGGCTTTGGCCAAGGTGGAGAGCACAGCACTTTATCACTCTATTGTGACGATGGTCTCACCCATGTATGCATGTGTGTCCCCTGCATGAGGTGCATGCGCTGCAACCTGTACGTCTCCAAGAACCATCACAGCACGAATCGGGGAATTGCAACACTGGTGCCATTTTTTAAAAACAATACTTTCATTTTACTTTTAATTTCTGGTTTGCAAAACGAATTGCAAAAGCTCATGAAATAACTCATGCACCTGTGAATTAGATGGTGTTGATTGATGCATGACAATTGATCATTGAAAACCCAATGTCAAACAATCAAACACAATCACAATTTAAACAAACTATAGGAACAGTTCACCTGCTGTTCATTTACTCACCCTCAGGCCATCCAAGATGTAGGTATCTTTTTGTTTTTCCAGAAGAACAATAAAGAAGATTTTTAGCTGAAATGCAAGTCAGTGGCTGCCCGTCCTTGAGAATAAAAAAGCATATCAAGGAAACCAAAATGAACCCCCGTGGCTCCTGGTGATATATTGAGGTCTTATGAAGCGAAACGATCAGTCTGTGCAAGAAACTAAACATTATTACCTGTGATCCAGAGCTTCATAAAAACAGTCCAGAGTGATGTCCGGTTCATGAACGAAATATTCTTTTGAACCGGTTCTTTTTTAGTGAACCAGATGAACCAGTTCACCGAATCAGACTGAATCATCTGAAACAGTTTGTTGTCTTCAGCAGCACATATCTACAAGTTACTCAATCAAAACTCACTTTTCAGACGCCTGACCTGAGGAAATAGTTTGACTCGGACTGAAGACCGATGAGCCACTGAAATGCGCATGTGTGAACCGAACACTTGAATGAAGGGGTGAAATGAATGCTTTTATGGTTTCTCATGGTTTATGTAAAAAGGTGAGCTGATAGTTTATATGCTTTAGACATGGAGAACATCCGCGTTTCACATCATTATTGGGTGCTTTAATAATATAATTGTGTATACGTTATGTCATTGCGTGATTATGTAAACAAATTGGTGAATTCAACCAATTCATTGAAAAGAACTGTCCGAAAGAATCGCATTTCCCCGTTTGCCTGAGGCTCTGGATTACAGGTAAAAATGTTGTAAATAATCTTCAGTTTCTTGCACAGACTGATCGTTTCGCTTCGTAAGACCTCAATATATCATCAGGAGCCATGGGGATTCATTTTGTGTTCCTTGATATGCTTTTTTTATTCTCAAAGATGGCCAGCAGCTGACTTGCATTTTATGAATCACCAAGGACCACGGTTTCAGCTAACAATCTTCTTTCCTGTTCTACTGAAGAAAAAAGTTTTATTTGCTGCACCTGGTTGGCTGTAAACTGTAATGCAGTACTGAATGACCACCCGATTTCCAAAAAAAGGGACTTTGGTAACACTTTATAATAACTTTCATTAGTAATATTCATGAAATAGTCTTACAATATTACTCAAATAATATTACTTTTGCTCATACTTGTTAGGGGATGTTCATATCCCTAAGTATTAATCTTCGAAATGTAACTCAAACCTTGAGTTAAACCTTAAATCATACGGCTTGTTGAGTCTAGTATAATGTGGTTGATGTAAAAAGGTGAGCTGATAGATTATATGCTTTAGACATGGAGAACATCCGCGTTTCACATCATTATTGGGTGCTTTAATAATATAATTGTGTATACGTTATGTCATTGCGTGATTATGTAAACAAATTGGTGAATTCAACCAATTCATTGAAAAGAACTGTCCGAAAGAATCGCATTTCCCCGTTTGCCTGAGGCTCTGGATTACAGGTAAAAATGTTGTAAATAATCTTCAGTTTCTTGCACAGACTGATCGTTTCGCTTCGTAAGACCTCAATATATCATCAGGAGCCATGGGGATTCATTTTGTGTTCCTTGATATGCTTTTTTTATTCTCAAAGATGGCCAGCAGCTGACTTGCATTTTATGAATCACCAAGGACCACGGTTTCAGCTAACAATCTTCTTTCCTGTTCTACTGAAGAAAAAAGTTTTATTTGCTGCACCTGGTTGGCTGTAAACTGTAATGCAGTACTGAATGACCACCCGATTTCCAAAAAAAGGGACTTTGGTAACACTTTATAATAACTTTCATTAGTAATATTCATGAAATAGTCTTACAATATTACTCAAATAATATTACTTTTGCTCATACTTGTTAGGGGATGTTCATATCCCTAAGTATTAATCTTCGAAATGTAACTCAAACCTTGAGTTAAACCTTAAATCATACGGCTTGTTGAGTCTAGTATAATGTCAGAATGAACCATGTATTCACACAGTTTCACTGTGTTTATTTAGTTCTGTTTTGTGCAGTACAACTAAAATATATGAGATCACTGAGATCACAGATAGGAAGTATAGGTATATATGTGTGAGTTCAAGCTTAAGTTTGTATCTGGCATAGAACTGAATCTGTGAGATAAGAGTTATCAAACCTGGTGTACTCATGTTTAGATTGTGATTTTGTTGGTAGCATGTGAAATGTATCATTCTTCCCAGCAGATGTACTTGTGCTGTCATTACTTCTGAGTCTCTGATCAGATCCTCCCCACCCCTCCTTCATCTGCTATTCATCAAAAATCCCAAACAGAAAGAGGGAATGCAGATTACAAGCAGTCATTTACTATAAAATAGAAGTACAAATGTAAAAATTGAAGCTTTTTCCACTATATCAAATTTACCACTGCACGTTTTCAACTATTTTGGCAAAACAAAGAAAGATCAATGAATCTTCTAAAAATGTCATTGCACTAGATTATTTTATTTAAAAGAAGAAAAAAAAGTTAAGCAAATGAAAAAAAAAAAGTATTTGGACACTTTCTGGTTGTCAAGTTTTAGTGGAACATTATTGTATTTGTATACGTTTTTGTGCAAAAAGAACGAATGGCGCTGTTGACTAAAAGTTCAAATATCCCTTTCATATCCTCAGAGGAAAAGTACACTGTTGTCTATCCATACTCTGCACGTGATCAAGATGAGATTGATTTGGAAAGAGGCATGACTGTTGAGGTCATTCAGAAAAACTTGGAAGGCTGGTGGAAGATCAGGTAAAATCAAATGCAAATGTTCTCAGAAAAAGTACTTAACAGGCATTTTCTTAGAACATTGTCACCTTCACTCCCATAGATACCAAGGAAAAGAGGGCTGGGCCCCGGCGTCCTATCTGAAGAAGATGGCTGCTGGCGCTCCAGTTCATGCCAGCACTAATGACCTAGAAGTGGCTTGCAAACAGCAGAATGCCAACAAAGAAAACAAGGAGAATCAGCGCGACCGATTTTTGCCATTTTCAGAAAGCAAGCGCAGTAAGCAACCGTTGGTTTCATTAGAATCCAAGTATTTAAGGTTACTGACGGGGCATAAAACTAACTTATTGCGACTTGAGAAAATGTACCGGTCGTAAATATTTTTTACCAGCTATGCATATTTAATTGTAAATTGCACAAGCAGTTTCTGATTTAAATTTTATTGTATCATTTCAACATTTGAAGCAAAAACAGAAAGGTCTGAATTTTGCTTTGTGAAATTATGTTGCATAGCAGACCGATTACCTCCATTGTTCAAAGCATTCGGCACAGTTGTATGTGAGTGACGTCACTTCCAAGAGAGAGTGAAAAAGCAGACGTGGTAATTAATATTTCTATTTATATATGACAGGCCCATAACTCGAAAGGCACGGGAAATCTAGTTGCAAATGGGCTTTGCTTTTCCATTTGAAATTTGACAGTCACTGTGCGTTCGTGAAAGCGAAAACCCAAACAGTAATGCAAGATTTGCAATTGTGTTTGGATTATGCATCCACACGTGGAAAACGTGATTTGCAATTCCTTTTGAAAATAGTCTGGAATATCCTTCCATAAGAAAGGGTATCCGGCGTAAAACAAATATGCAGATGATCTACTGTGGCAACCGCTAACAAAAACAGTCAAAAGTAAGAGAGACAAAAGATTGTGGCCCTCTAAACTCTGCCCTCTTCTCTTCTGCAGAAGCAGGAGCACGACAGAGACCTCCACCACGCCGAGATCTTTCTATAGTAAGGGTGATCATTTACAATTGCATCTCAAATATTTAAAATTCTTTCTTCAAGGTTCTACAGGGAGTATCAAGGGGTGCTTCTCATTCTTATTTGTGCATCCTTGTTTCCTTTCCTCACTTCCTTTCCTCACGTCTTAGCTCCACCCCGTAAGGTGCAAGGGAAAGATACACCTGTGTCTCCTCACTCATGCCTCCTCAGGAAGCTTCCTCACTCCTCGTTCCTCACCAGGGGTTCTCAACTCTGGCCTTTGAGGTTCACCTTCCTGCAGAGTTTAGCTCCAACCTTGATCAAAGTTGCCTGCCAGTAACTTTCTAGAAATCCTGAAGACCTTGATTAGCTTGTGCTGGTGTGTTTGATTAGGGTTGGAGCTAAACTCTGCAAGAAAGTGGACCTTGAGGGCCAGAGTTGGGAACCCCTGATTTAGAGAATTGTGATGCCCTTCAAGATGGCTGAGTTCAGCTGGGCTGGAGAACAGAGGAGCGAGGAAACAAGGAATCGTCAATTTGAGATTTGAGAAGCACACAAGGTTTTGACATGCTAACTCTTGGCCTGTCTCTTATTCCAGCCGCGAGGAGTGAATTTGCCTAAACCTCCAGTGCCCCCACAAGTAGAGGAGGAGTATTACACCATAGCTGACTTTCAGACAACCATCCCAGATGGTATTAGCTTCCAGGCAGGAATGAAAGTTGAAGTGAGTATAACAGCAGACAAAACCTCGGCTTTCATTTTTGACTTGTTCTCAAATGAACGCATCTGGATATTCCACATGCATCTCTACATTTACCTCACATCTTGTACTCTCAGGTCATTGAGAAGAACTCTAGTGGCTGGTGGTACATTCAGATCGAAGATAAAGAAGGCTGGGCTCCAGTCACATTCATTGACAAATACAAGAAGACAAGCAATGCCTCTAGGCCTAACTTTTTGGCCCCGCTTCCTGGTGAGATGGGTCAGCTGACGCTTGATGATACCTCAAGCAATAATACCAACTCTGAGCAAAGTTGGTCCAAACCCCTGCCAGATGAACCTTCATCCAATTCTGATTTTTCCACCCGTTCCAAGCTGAGAGATTGGAAGCCCAATGCAGTTAAAGGGAGCTCTCCTTTTTCAGTTCCCTTACCTCCTCCTCCTCCATCCTCACCCACGGCTGAAGAGAAGCCAGCTTTACCACCAAGGAGAGAATCCATCAACAAGAGCCTGGAACTGGAGGACAAACCCAAAGCAGACCTTCCTAAACCTCTCCCACCCAAACCACCAACCCCAGGAGTCATCATCCCATTGGTGATTCCAAAAGCTGCTCCTCTCAAGCCAGACAAACCCCCAGAGATGAAGAAGGAGGAGAAGAACAAGCAACTCTACCTGCGCAATGAGATGGGCTTGTGTGGCCACAACATCTCAGCCAAGGAGGTGAAAAAGTTCAACCTAAAGCATGTAGCCAAGCAGCCTCCCAAACCCAAAGCAGATTCTAATGAAGACAAGCCGGATTTGGCCAACCCAGCCCCGTTCCTCAAGCCAAAACCAGTGGTCAGACCAAAGCCCCCCCCTGCGGGCAAACCAGAGCCAGTGGCCAAGAATGAGCTGGACATCACAAACCTTCGGAGTAAGCTTCGTCCATCTAAACCTCCAGAGCAGAGCAGCAACTCGAGTGATCCCAACCAGCAGAGTGATACTCCCTCGAATAATGGCAGAACAAACGAAGAGTCGAAATCCCCCAATAAACAACAAAACGGCCATGACCCATCAGAACCAACTAAACCACCAACAACTACACCAAAAGAGGCTCCCCAAAGGCCTTCTGTGGCACCTAGAAGACCTCCTCCACCAAAGAAGAGCCCTGAGCCAGCCAGTCCAACAGACACCAAAGCTCCCCAAAAAGACTTGCCAGAGGCCAAACCATCCGCCCCTCCTCAGAGCAGACCCCCGCCACCCAAAACGAAACCAAAAGACAAGGAGAAGGAGGAACCCAAGGCCAAAGTACCTGTGCCACCAAAGCCCCACATTAAGACTGAAAAACCAGGGCCTCCGAGAGACAAACTCCCACCTCTTATCAAGTATCCGGCCAAGGAGGAGCTGTTCTTAGCTGTGGCGGACTTTGAAGGAGACGAGCAGACGCCTGCCTTTAAAGAGGGCGCTGTTTTCGAAGTTCTGGAGAGAAATGGTAACGGCTGGTGGTTTTGCAAAAATGTGAGCGATGGGCCAGTGATAGAGGGCTGGTTCCCTTCCAATTACCTGACCAAGAAACCTTAGGTACTCTTGACACAGCTGCCTAAAGAAAACGTATTTAATTAACATCTTTTATTTATGGGAACCTTTTTTAAAAATGACATTCCATTCTTTGCAAGTTCAAACATCCGTAAAAATTTGTTTGCTTGGTTTTTTGTAACTCTTTTCCCTTTTGGGGGAAACCATGTGTGCTTTCATATTTTAGCGCTGAACATCAAGGTCCTTGCCTAATCTTATGTTAATCAAACCTTATATGTATCGCTAAAGGTTTAAGTGACTAGCAATATATAACTGACTTTTCGCAGCCTCCATGATATTGTGCCTCAGTATAATATGCAAAGTGCACTGTGCTTTTGGCGTAAATTATGCAAAACATGATGTCTGTCAGCAGATTAGAAACAGAGTTTGATTCTATATTACATTGAAGCTTTTACAGAAATTGGTCTGCTTTCTGGTTCTGACACTACAAAACTGTACAAATCATGTTGCTTATCTACTTTCTTGAGTAAAGGGAAGGTGCAGAATGAGGAGAAACAAGAAACATAAACACATGGCCTTAAGGTTTACAAAACAGTGGCACCCATTTGTCGTTTCATTTTTGATTTTTGCCACATGGTTCTAGCAAATATTGATTTAAAAAAAAAAAAGCAACCCCCTTTAGCAGTACCAATCATATACATTAGTGAATAACAGAATACCTCAGAATAGCCATAATATCGTCATTATTTTATATGTCAGTATTGCCCAGTATTTTCATATCACTGACAAAGGTGCTTAGATATTTTACAGTCATTTTCAAATGTTTTAACATTTATGCTTGACTGGTTTCAAGCAAACGTGTGATAAACGTGTTTATTTTTAACACTACATTTGAAAATGTGGTTATGTTACTAAAATATTTCTTGTCTTTTTTGACAGTTTTGTTTTCCATTCATTTATCAGAAAACAGTGTTAAACAGGTGCCCAGTCTGACCTGACAATACCAGGAGCACTGAAAATATGCTCATTTTGCTCTATGGTCATCAGCTCCTAGTTGCTATAAAATGCATTCATAAAAGCACCCCATCTATTAAAAAATGTGCAACAAATGCAAGTGCCTGAGTTTGGAAAGGATAATGGAAGGTGTTCTGAAGTTTTTGCAAGAAAATAAGATGATGAAGGATCATAGAGAGAAGAGGGTAAATGCTGCAAGTATGAAACTTGAGTTTCATAGAAACATAAACTTTATGTTGAAACTCAAGCCAGTTAAAAACGAACAAAGGCAAGATGACATCGGCAACCTGTTTGTATTTTTTTAAACGCATTTCTGTGATGTTTTGTCCATAGTATTTCAAGTGTTGACAACGTTTTCTTAATGTAAATCAAATAAACATTTCAAATAGTCAAAATGTTTTATTATTATTTTGAGCAATTCTGGTATTAAACTGTAAGCGAGAGCTATCAACAGTACACTTTGTTTTGCGGTCTTCTATTTGTTGTCTTTTTTGAGTTTTCTAGTTAATTTATTTCCTTACATGATTTATGGGAACTTAATTTTTATTACCAACAAAGAAAGAAATATTACTAGATTTTGGAAGTTTGGAAGGCAGGGGTTTTCAAAATCCCCCAAACGATGTTCCCCTTGCAAGAGACCCCTTTCCTAAAAGTAAGCAATAAAGAAGAGCTAAACACGTTATTTGTGTTTTATTAATTTTTTCCTCAAAATGATATGCAGTCGCTTTAAATTGACCACCGGGAATGAAATGCTAGAATAAATGAATGGTGATTAATTTACAGACTCTAGTCTTTCGAAAGCATAATGAGAATGTAATATCAAATTATTGGATATTATTTAAACTAGTGAACTGTTTTTGCAATGTTGTGGCACCATTTTAAGGAATCTGTCAAAAGTTTGGAACCATTAAGATTTATGAAAGAAGTGTCATATTCACCAAGGCTGTGTTTATTTGGGGAAAAAATATATACACTATTATTTTTTTCCATCACAGAAATTAATTACATTTTAAAAATTATTCATATATAAATGATGGTATTCAAAATATAAAATAGACTTTTGTATTAATGTTTCATAATAGTGTTTTAACTGTATTTACTGTAAGTGTGCAGAGTTTAATTGAGCAATATGACACGAGGAAGATATTTCTTTGCGGTTTCAGATGAATCACAACCGTGTGCGAGTGTCATATTGATTTAATAAAATGCTTCTGCAATATTGAGTAACTCACACTGCAGCTACAATATGACCGGATTTCTGAAATGTAAACATCTCTAGTTCAGTGGTCAAAATATCATTAAAATCTCACTTGGTTTGACTATGAATCAAAAATGGGCACCATACATTTTTGTATGTTTTCTATGTTATTTTTACCTACACTATTATTATTATTATAATTAGTAATTATTATGATGATGTTTGTGGGTCAAACTGACTCTAACTGGTTTTAATACAACTCATCAAAAATCACATTATATGAAAAATAGTAAAATATTATTAAATAAACGGATCAAAACAGTATTGTATTAGTACAAAAAAGACTACAAAAACTGAAATAAAATAAATGAGAAAAACTGTATTTAACAAACATTTTAACATTTCCTAATTGTATTTATATATTTTTATTTTCATATAACTGTGAATATACTGTACATTAATTACAGCTTTTCCTTTAATTCCTCAAATATGATTAATTCCATGTTTGTGCTTTTGGAAGTTGATCTTTACCCAAATTAGGCTTTTTATTGTGCATTTTAGGCTCATTTCCACTGTAGAGAACAAATATTTGTTCTTTAGGAATTGAGACGTTCCTCTTTCTAGTGTCAGATTTATTAAAAGGATAGCTGGCCCAAAAATGAAAATGCTGTCATCATTTACTCAACCTCACGTTGATGCAAACACCAGATATTCTGAAGAATGTTGGCGAGATATTCTTTCCTGTGGAAAAATACTATGGAAGTCAATGGCTACCGACTTCAAAATATATTCTATTGTGTTCAACAGAAGAAAGAAACTCAACATGAGGGTGAGTAAATGAGGACAGAATTTTCTTTTTTGAGCTAAAACAGCTATTCCATAAAATGTAAATAAAAGAAAATGATCAAAACTAAAAGATAAACATCTCATTTATTATAGATACTCTAACAGTCTCTCATCATCCACACTGAAGCTTTGGTTACTCCGAGTTACAGACTCAGAAAGGAACGATCAACACTGTGCTCCACAGACATAAAAAAAAAAAAGACGTAAATCCTCATACCTTCAGGTTTCAGGCATCGCTTTTGAAAATATAAATCCTTCAAATGGCTAAAGACTGGAAGCTGATGTAAAATAACACGCGTTTAAAATCGGAACACAACAACATATTGCACTTTGGTTAGGTGACAGTAACAGACAGCAACATATAAAAAATGATCAATAATAAACTAGAGAAAACATGCATAAACGCATTTCTGGAGTTGCTCTCGTCTCGTCCAGTGTGATGCATTTACAGTAAATGTGCCAGTGGCAGACAATAAACACTGCAGAATACTAAAAGTGGCAAATTAGTTGCTGTCGAATACATAAAACAACAAAAACATTCGGTAAAATAACAATGTACCAATTAAAATGTACACTTTTTCAGAAAAACATAAGTTCCTTTTTTCAGCGTCTAAATATTTAGAAACTGGTTATAAAAGAAAAGGGATAAGTTGCAACTTTATATATATATTTATGCATATATTAACTGATCATAGAAAAAATAAAAACATAAGAACATGCAAGGTTTGTACAATATATTTGGCAGTACATTTAAACTAACTTTTAAAACGTTTAAATAAACTAAGGTAAGCGAGTCTGCCAGAGCTGTTCTAGTCATGCAGCTCAATGCCCTCATTTAAATGAATGCATCTATGCACTTTCATCTCATGCTATTAAAGGAATAAAGCAGATCTGAATGCTGTTTCAGGTGACTGTCGCTGCTGCTTTGTTCCTGTGCACTTACAGACAAATCCGCCTACGCCTCCAGAAAAGTGTGGCGACCCTAAATGACAAGCAGGAGCTCATGTGGTGGACGAGTCGATGTACGGCAGGAACCTCGTGACTTTGTTTGGTGAGCCGACGTTCTGACACTGGGAATCATCACTCATCTTGAAGAAAAGCTCCTGCTCTTTCTTCCTCAGGTTCAGTTCCTCCTCCAGAACCTGAGAGAGGAGACAGAAACACATCACACTTCAACTCTACAGTCGACTGAGGTTTATTCTCATCGGCCAATAACTCACAATTAAACACGCGTTCCCTCTCATTATCATTTAAACAGTAATGCTTTTATATCATCGTACAAGTCGTTCTATTGCTTTTATGCCTTTATATGATAAACAAATTGCAGTCATTTAATATTGCGAGTAAAATGACTATAAATTAAAATGAGAAATTGTAATAAATTAATAAAACATGTAGATGCATAACAGCAATGATGAGAATTTGAAGAGAAAAGTGCTTAATTGTGTCATAATGCGTGTATATACTTCTTTTAATTAATCAATTAATTTACTTTTTTTCAGCAATGAAGTTGATCAAAAGTGACAGTAAAGACATTTTTTAATGTGACGGAAGATAACTTGAACTTTCTGTTCATCTGTGAATCCTGAAAAATAAAATGTATCAGTTTCCACAAAAATATTGTGTGGCACAACATTGATAATAATCAGAAATGTTTCTAATAAGCAGCATATTATACTGATTTCTGAAGATCATGTGACACTGAAGACTGGAGGAATGATGCTGAAAATACAGCTGCGCATCACAGAAATACATTATATTTTACTATATATTAAATAGGCCTGTCATGATCATGAATTTTGTGCTGACAATTAATTGATTAATTATTTAATTGTCTTTGTTCAATGCAATGAGCCAATATTTTATATATATTATTTATATGTATTTTACTTCAAAATATATAATTAAATAGGCCAACATGATTTTCTTTAATGCTGTGAAAACAATATTTTAAAAAGTTAAAATGTCTTTACTCTTGGTCCATTTTACATGGACAATGGAGCCCAGCAACATAATATACTAAATATAATATAAAACATAATGTAATATGATATGATATAATATAATAATAGCAATTTGATCAAATAACTGTAATCACACGATTCAACAAAAACCTGACGGGCCTAATATTAAAATAGAAAACGGCATTTTAAACTGTAATATTTAACAATATTACTTTTTTCCTGTGTTTTTGATCAAACGCAGTCTTGGTGAGCAGAAGAGACTTCATAATCTCACCTCCCCCAAACCGCTGAACTGCAGTGTGTGATGTATTTGTGTGTTTAGATGCGCGGGTGAAATACGAGCCAGGCTCGTCTCTAGAGTCGCACGAGTAAGTCAGACCTTCTTCCTGGGCTTGAGGTGCTCCCTCCACTCCTTCAGCTGCTGGTTGTGCTGCTCGTCCACAGCCTTCAGACGCTGCGTCTCGTTTTCTATCAGCAGGTGGCACTTCTCATTCTGCAGGAGACATTCACACGGATCAGGCTACGAGCACACGAACACGGACACATCTCAAACGCATTGTTCCCTCATTTTGGTTTTGGCACTTGGCATGTGAACACAAACCAAACTCATGGATGTGAATTGAAAAGGTTAAACAGTCCTGAAAATATAGTCAGACTTGCATTGGAAACAAATGGAAAAGGATTCTCATCAAGCAGAAACTTTGGTACTGCGAAAAACCAAATCTGACGTTTTTTGTGATATCAACTTCAAATTCGGAACACATTTTGTTTAGATTTACGGCTTTGAATTTTTAGCAGTTTTAAAGTAAAGTAAAACATGTTTGGAAAATATATATTTCATATCAAATGTAAAAATAGTAATAATAAATAATAATAAACTTTTATCTTTTCTTTTTTTAACTTTTTGTCACTTCAGCAATAATAAAAGTGTCTTTAAAAAAAAAAAAAAAAAAAAAAGACCAAACGCAAGTCTGTGCTCTAAAGCATTGAAGATTTACAAAAGTTTAAGATGGAAATTTCATTTTCAGGTCTATGCTCAAAAAATATTTAACTGGTAATAAATTGATCATAGCTATTCTATGAATATAAATTAGTACCATAAATTCCACTAAAAATACAAAATATTAAATAGCATTATTAAACTAAACTATAACACATTCATTTAATTGAAAAAATAAATAAATAAATAAAAATCACAAATTTTTGATTGCCATGTGGAACACAAAATAAGTTGGATGACATCGGGGTCCAAACTAGCGGCGCCGAATGTTTTTATTACCATGCTTTGTGCACATCATCACTTAGTTTTCATGCTAATTTCGATGGACCTTTTTCACATTTCCTAGTTTCTCAGCAGCGG